TTGCTTTGACTATAGGTTGCATGTGGGTGACTTTTGGAGATGTGACTATAAAAGGAAGCAGAGGCTAGATCCCAAAGGGTGCTTGTGTTAATATTAGGTAGGATAACATCTTTTGGAAGTGACCTAATACCTACCTCCAAAAAGCTTATGTAAAAAAATGTAAAAATGGCCCTTAATGGCTACAATAACTGAAAAATTTAAATGAAGAGATGGCCACATACATGTCTAGATGAGGGTTGAAATGATGACTCCAAGTACTTTATCTCTGTTTCTTTGCTTCACCTGTCCATGGCTCCATCCTCAAATGATATTATGCTTTGTGATGGTAGGATGTCTGACCGAGGTCACAGGTTCAAGTCTAGTCAAAAGAGTGAGGTTCTCTTCTATAGAAGTCCCAGCAAAGTTTCACTGGCTCTGATCAAGTCATCTGAACCAGTTATTTTGTGGAATACTCTGATAGATCGGGCCTGAGATTTATAGACTGCAAGTGTCAATTCCACTTAGAAGCTCAAAGACCTAGCATGTGAAGGAGGGTGGTTCCTCAGAAGGGAGTTGGGTATGAATACCAAAAGAAAGATATGGAATGCATACTAGATAGAAAAACCCAGAGAAGTTCAAGACACCTTTTATAGTGTAGGGATTGGAGGGCCACCAATGGCTTTTAAGCCATGGAGTGACACGACCAGATTAGTATTTAAGAAGAGAACCAACCTAATGAGTATGGATCAGAGGTCTGTGGCTGAAGGCAAAGGGTCAGCTAAAAAGGCTTTTACTAGTCCAGGGAAGTGATGATGAGTATATGAGTGAAACCTTAGGACTAGGAATGAAAAGGTGCAATGACTCAGAAATGTACAGGTAAGGTCTAGAACCATAAATTTTATGCTGAGTGAATTCACTGGGGAAGGGAAGGAAGACTTCCAGAATGTGCTTTACGTTTTGGCTTTGGAGCCAATATGGATAGGGATACCCTTTATGGACAGTGGATCTACAGCAGGTGAGAGGAAGGTATAAAACAACTACCATGGTAATAGCTGACATCTAAAATGAATTTCTGGCTAGGATAACTTTCACAGAGTGGCAGAGAAAAAGTATATTCAGAGCTTATGGATTTTTTTTCACCACAAACAATGTTATTCATAATGATAAATTATCTGGATATGTCCTTGGAATGTACACAGAAATACACGTGTCCTATGAATGTGTAAGACAGTTACACATGTTCTTGTACATGCAGGTTTATATTAGCCTCACTCTTTCCTTTTTTTTGTTTGTTTTGCTCTTTTATTCTCACTTGTTCTGACTACATGCTCTTTTTGTCTTCGGTCTATCTTTGTAAGTTGCTTTAGATCATTCTGGAATGAGATGGTATCTAGTAAATAAATAATTCTTAATGCATATTCATTCCAAGTCAGCCCTTACAAAGAATGATTGGAATGAGGCTTGGAATATTTTAAACCAAAATTGTTCTTGTACTTCCTTTCCATAAATATCCATGAATGTGGATACATTGCATTTGTCTTTTTTTAAGGAGTAAAAGACACCTGCATTTGTTTAAAAGTTTATCACTTCAACACTAAAATAACCTTTCATTATCCATGGTAGCTCTCTGATCCCCATCACCATCCTACCAGGTATTTCAAAATTAAATTTATCTCTGGGCTTAGAACCAGCTAAAGAATTTTTAGTTTAAAAAGCTACTCAAAATAGGCTTTACAATGAAAGAAACATTTAAAAGATGAGCAAGTTAACAGTGTCCAAAAAAATGAATGAATTAATGGGTCATGCTAAAAATATTTAAATTACATAATAATCATGTGGATCATGACAATCAACAACAACTTCTCCATTTCCAGTTTCTCCAGCAAATTTCATAGTCTTCAAAGGGCCCATGTTTTCATGTTCCCCAGATTAGCTTCTTCTATTGGCTGTTTTCTTAAACATTTTCTAGCCTGGAATCCCAGGTTCAGGTATTATCTAGAGGCAGGTGACTATCTCAGATCACTTTTGCTCAGTCTTCTTTGTCTAAAGGTTATTGACCTTGTCTTGACCCATGTCTTGACTCAGAAAGAGAAGAACCAGGGAACAAAGGATGGGAGGCAGAAGAAGAAGATGAAAGCAAGATAGATCTGGAAGATGGGACCATTGTCCTCACACACAGCTTCTTGGTAATTAGGTATTTCACCTCGGATAATGATTGCACCCAGCTTGAAAACACAAAGTGGCTCCACATCTTCTCATGAATAAAGTCCCCCACCCACAGGTTGGCCATCTTGCAAATATGGCCCATGGATTCTCACTTTTATTATTTGTCCCATTATTACCTCTGTCTAAAGTGCTCTTTCCCTCAATTTGGCTACTCCAAGTCCCATCCATCACTTCAGGCCCAGGACACAGAGATTTCCCTAGCTCTCCTCTCTCAACTCTGAATTTGGAAGTAAACATCTCCTATTAATTCCTTCCATAGCATTTTGTTTCTATCTCCAGTTTAGCACTTACCATATTTTAGCATGTTTGTTTTCAGAATTTTAGGTAGTGTGTGTGTGTGTGTGTGTGTGTGTGTGTGTGTGTGTATGTGTGTGTGTGTGTATGTATGCCATTTCCTTTCTTGGGGCTGTGCCACATTCACCCTTGTGTTCTTTCATCTTCAAAGAGCCCACCATGGTGATTCACACATAGAAAGCATTAAAATTTTTTATTAAATGAATAATCAGAGAGAGGAATGCATGGAAGGAGGATTAGAGAATACCAAAAGGGAGAGAATAAGAGGGCTATTACTACTAGTCAAGAGAGTGGAAGAGGACAGAATTATGGGTGAAATTAGCTGAGGGATTGCAGCTCAGTGGGGAACAAGAGGTTGACACTAAGAGAGTGTGGGATAGGGAGGTGTGAGACTTGGAAGGGAAGCTGTTTGCTCAGATGTCTGGTCTCTCTCCCTCTTCTTCTTGCTGCCTCCTCCCATCAACTCACTCATAAATAAGTGGACACTTCCTGTGCTTTATCTGAATTCAGTACCTAGAAAATACATGAGACACAATGTTGTCACCACTGGGTAAAGTAGCTTCCCTATCTGTGAAAGCTAGGAAGACAAATATTTGTCTTGGGAAACTATCAAGTTAACAGATTTAGGAGAATGACCTACTGGCTGGTCTCAGTAACTTGCTTCTCTTTTTGCCAGTAAGCCTCCCAGGCCTCCTCTCTCTCCGGGTTTTTCACCCCTTCCTGATTGCAAAAACCAATGGTGTTTTGACGATGGAATGGGAAGAATGCCACCACTGAAGTCCTTGTTTTCTTTGCATACCTCCCATCTACTTAAAGACACACACACCTTAGCATGCATAATGTTTCTCTATGTTTTCTGGTTTCCATTGAACCAGTCTGTTTGCATTAGTGCTCATCACACTGAATTGTGACAGTATATTCATCACATACTAGCCTGTATGAAAGTAGGGAATTTGTCTGAACTTGTTATTACATCTGACCCAGCATCATAGTGTCTGGTTTATATAGGCTTAGTTAAAGAGTTGTTGAAGAAGGGGAAGAAGAAGAAGAAAGCTTAAAATTATGAACAATAAAATGGCAATAAATACATATCTATCAACAATTGAATCTAAAGATCAAAATAAATGAATAAGAAATCTAATGAACAAAATAAAGTGATGAATAAAATAAAATCAGACCCATGGAAACATGAAACAGACTGATTAATCTCAGAGGGAAGGGGTAAGAGGGTGTGGGAAGAGATTAACCAAAGATCTTATATTCATACTAGTGGCTCAGTGCACGAATTCATGCACATTGAAAGAAAATTAATTAGAAGAAATATTTTAATATCACTATTTGCCCTTTCTCTATAATAGAAGTGTCAACCAAAGTCATGATCGACAATGACAGATGGAAACACATGTGTGTGATTGGCTCCAGCAAGAGCTTTATATGTATCATGCATGTTTGAGTCAACTTACCTTTATGGATATAGAACCAACTTGCTTCATGAGACCTGCTTTCTGATGTAGCTAAACTTTTTCCAGCCCAGTGAAGCACTCCAACTTCTCTTTCAGGTAATTGTTAGCAACACAGCAGTAAATATCAACCAATGCAGATTATTATTGTAGATCACACAGGGAGAACAAAGGGCAAAATATTAACTAGTAACTGCAGCAGTGTTTGACTATACTAGTATTCTGCACAGTGAGAAAACCTGAAGTAATTTTCAAGGTCCACCATTTCTTACTTCGTTTCAGTAAGTTTGTTTCTAAACTTTCTAAATCTCTGTTTTCTGGCTAATGAAAAGAAAATAGGATTCCACCAAGTCTCCTATCTACCTACTCCAGGACTTCTGTGAGGATCAAATGAGATGAAGCAAGGGAAAATGCTTCACAGACATTTGGTTACAGTGAAAAGTGTTTCCACCTGGCCAAAGTGTTCCTGGGCTGAAGAAACTGCAAGGAGGCTAGTCGTTGCTAGGGAGAAGAAGCTGGACGTAGCTACGTGATGTCATTACCTGGATGGAGGGAAAGACACTTAACATATTAGCCTTTAAATAGATAGATATGCATTACCTATGGACATAGACAATAGGGTGGTAAATGCCTGGGGTGGGGTGGGAACTGAGTGGAGGGAGGTATTGGCTGGGGGGAGGGGGGAGGCGGGGGGAGAAGAGGGTGACATCTGTAATACTCTCAACAATAAAGATAAAAATAAAAGAGTTGTTGAGTAAATATACAGGGTGGGGCAAAAGTAGGTTTATAGTTGTATCCACTTTTGAATACAATACTTAATAAATACATAATAATACAAGAATAAACTTTGTGTTTCACGTACAAGCACGAAGGAAGAAATAATAAAAAAGAAAATTATGACTTCACTTTAAATTGCTTGACATTCCTCAGCATCACTTACCTTTGGTTTCTGACTATAGCGTTTGGAGAATTATCAAAGATTTTTGTCTGGGATGTTATGATTCTCTTAAATAACAGGCCAAAATGTGATTTTATAAAGATTTAATGAGACATTATCATTGCCGTCTGGTCTGATCACTCAAGAATTTAATAAAAAAAAAATTGTTAACATTGTCTTGGATTTGTTTAAATATTTATGAACACTGCTTTCAAGAGAATTCATATCTGGGGTTATTGTTTTATATCATTCATCTTGGTAAGGTTTCAATAGTTTGGTGGATCATCTTGTTTTAATAATAAATGTCGCTAGAGCTGTCTGTAAATACTCTGGAATCGGAGCCGGAGTCTTTGGATCTCATTGCTGTGTGTTCCACCTTCCAGGGCCCCTCGATGAAATCAAAGTGTCTCCCACAAGGATTCTGGAATCTGCTGGTCAGCAGTCCTGGTCACAGCTCATCGTCTTCTGATATGGAATCTAGGTAATCTGTGTCAACGTACAGGAGAAATCCGGAGAACAAGCTGTCTGCCCAACCTGGGTCTGAGAAGAGGCCATTCTGGTCATTGAAGAAGATCTCCAGCCAGACTTCATCTTCCGGCTGCAGATAGATGACTGTGGACCCTGAAGCCACATCATGGTTTCCTGTGTTGGCGTCGAAGGTCTTTATCCGGTACTGCCCGTTGTGCACCAGCCCGATTGCCAGATGCTTATTTGCCAATGTGATATCATAAGAAAAATAGTAGATTCCCGGGAAAGCACAGATGAACTTCCCTGTGGCAGGGTTGTAGTGTTCTCCCTCATTGAAGAGGACCTTGTTAAATATGATCGGGAGCCTCTCTTCTGGGTAGCTGGTGGTGATGCCAACAGAAAAGGCAGATTTGAGCACGATGCTTCCACATCTACAAACTCCAGGCAGCCCTGGGTCCCCTTGCTCTCCTCTGTCTCCCTTTGGTCCAGCAGGCCCAGCTGGACCGACTTCTCCTTTCTCACCCTCTGGTCCCATGGGTCCCTTCTTCCCCACTTCTCCTTGGTCCCCTTTCTCTCCAGCAAGGCCCAGCGGTCCAGTCTTACCTCTCAAACCTTTAAAAAGAGTTTAAACTTTAATTAATGGTTCCTCTAAATACAGAGTGACAAAAAGCATGCTCACATAGTCCCAGCATACCATACATTAATCTTTTCAGACAGCTTTCAACTGTGTACTACTAAACAACGATTTTTTAAAAAATCTGAATCACTACAATGGAAATAGAAAAATTTCATCATAATTTCAAGTAAATTTTCTATGTGAGAAATCATTTCATTCTGACTAATTAAAAATATTTAACTATCATTCTGATGATGGATTACCTGTCACTAAATTAGTTACACTACAGGTACTCATTACTACAGAAGGAATTTAAGGAGAATGATGTTGATATCATTCTTCATAGTGAAGTCATGGGGGCAGACAGAACCAGGTGGATCCTGAGAGGCAGTTCTCTCTCATGCCTCATCCTACTATTAGTATTAATAATAAAAAAATTAATCAGAAAAAATAAATGAAAAAGAATTAATCGAATGAGATTAGCTCATATTTATGAACATTTGCTATACATCAGGAACAGCATTTTATTTACATGTATTATCTTCTTCAAGATTTGCAACAGTTTTATGAGCTAGGCATTATTATTATTACTCCCATTGTAGATGAAGAAACCTAGCCATGGAGAAGTTCATTTGCTCAAGGAGATAGAACTAGTGAATGACGGAGCTATGACCTGAACTCATGCCTGCCTGACTCGGAAGCCTGAGCATTTCTGTGGCTAGAGTGTGAATTGTAAAGGGCTCCAGGCATAGTGAGGGCTCACTATGCTACAATAACCCAACAACAGTGACTGCCACACTGTGCAGCCAGTCTTTTATGGAGGAGAAAACTGAACCCAAGAGAGATGAAGCAAGGACAGGACTGGAATCCTAGTCTCAGTCTACTGATGTTTCCCCTTCATCAAAATGCCTCTTACCTTTGGGGCTGGAATCAAGAATCCTAAATTCGATTTGGCTCTACAGCTAAGGGCTGTATCATTTTAGGCAAGTCCCTTAATTTCTCTGGGCTCCTTACATATAGAAAAGACATAGCAGCTGTGAAAAGATTTCAACAACTTGAAAATCACCATAGAGAAATATTTTCTGTTTGCCCAATGTTTTATGTCTACAGATCAACCATCGGCTAAATGCAGAGAAATAGTGATCATGGCTTAAAAGTGATAAACAGCATCTAATTAATTTTTAAATCGTATGTGTAATAACAATGACTTAATAGCATAAAAAAGGTTATTCAATTTTATAGCCAAATCCATTCCATAAAAAGTGCTTATGTAATGGTACATTCTCAAAAATATCCAAATTATTTGGATATTTGTAATGTACTTTGTAGTCAGGGAAAATATATTGTTGATATACTGTGTAGTTTATTTTCAGGAACTTATATTAAGCTAAGCCTTTTTATCTAGATAGTGCTTTGATAGCATTTTTTTCAATATATTACATATGCACTGGTGTACGAGTTTGATCATTTTCAGTTATTTGGCAATTTAGCAATAAAGTGTTCTGGATAATGTGAATTTGAAAAGAATTAAAGCTTTACTCTTAAAACATCAAATATTTTGTTTCTATAATTTTGTAAAGACACTGTTTGACAATTTATGGTGCACAAAAGATGCTAAAAATGAATGCATTTTTTTGGTGTCTGAGACCAGCATTATTACTGATCATAGAAGTGTTCTCTAGCTATAGATGACATGTGTTATCTTTTTTCTTTTCTTGTTTTCATTCCTTTCTTTCTTTCTTTCTTTCTTTCTTTCTTTCTTTCTTTCTTTCTTTTCTTTTCTTTTCTTTTTAAATTCATACCCAAGGATATGTTTTTATTGATTTTAGAGAGGAAGGAAGAGGGAGGAGGAGAGGGAGAGGGAGGGAAGGAGGGAGAGAGAGAGAGAAACATCAATTTGTTGTCACTGTTTGCACCCTAACCAGGGATCAAACCTGAAACCTGGGCATGTGGCCAGACCAGGAATCAAACCAGTGACCTTTCAGTATAGACGATGCTCCAACCAATTGAGCCACACTGGCCAGGGTGACATTTGTTTTTAAATTGAAATTCCACTGACTCCAGCCAGAACACAATCTGGTATTTATTTCTTGAGTAAGGCTACAATAGTTTGACCTCTCAATGATTACTTGTTTTTGATAGACGTATAATATAAATATTATTTAGTTAATAAATTAACTTTGGAATCAAAGACAACAACTTCTAAGTTGTTATTTTATCTTCAATAGAAGCTCAACTTTTGTTGTCTTCATCAGTGACTTTTGGTGCATTAATTAAAAAACCCCCCACACATTTTGGCATCAGTAACTATTTGACCATTAAATTTCATTATGTACTCAAATCCTTTTGACTCTTTTGCTTTTGAACAAGTCAATTCTTGTCTGAGTTCCAAATACTCCATTTGTACTACGAAGAAACTAGATCCAAATCCACTACAAATCTGGTGGGAAAAGCAGTAAACAGTGTCTAAGCAGACCAGGGATAAAACCCTAGTTCAGCCAGGAATTAGGTGAATTTGACAAAGGGGCTTCATCTCTCTGACTTTAGTTTCCCAGACCTTGAAATGAAGGTGTTGGACTAGATCACTTGAGGTTTCATCCCATTGAAAATTCTTTGAGATCAAACCATAAATACTAAGATGCAATTTTACAATGAAAAGGTTGTCACAATTTCAATGTTTGGATTTTCTGTAGTTGTTTACTATTCTCAACTGCTGGGAGTTAGATAATCAGGGACTAGCTGTAATAATTTATAGTAATTCTTCCTGTTCACATCACAGATTTGCCCCTGTGCTAAGGACCAATGAATGAAGAATGGAAAGAAGGGATAGATCATTCTCCATCTCCCTATTCAGGCAGATATATGACTGTACAGAGAAGAGAATTATGGAGAAATTATTATCTATGCTTAAGTACTAAAGCTTGGAGAGAAAGGATTTCTTCTCAACTCTCCATGATATGGGCTTACAAATATTTTTTTCAGTGCCTTTTCTTTCTTTCTTTCATCCATCCATCCATCTATCCACCCACCCACCCACCCATCCATGGATTTATGCATGCATGCATCCACCTGAACCATATAATGTTTATTGACCATCACTACATGCCAGGCACTGTATTAGGGCTAAGTGAGACCTTGACATGAACGACACCTGCTCTACCTTCAAGGTAGCTATTATGACATACTAGTAGCCTGGTGCATAAAATTCGTGCACATTAGACGGGAATTAATTGCCCTAACTGATTTGGCTCAGTGAATAGAGCATCAGCCTGAGGACTCAAGGGTCCCAGGTTCGATTCTGGTCAAGGGCATGTACCTTGGTTGCGGGCACATCCCCAGTGGGGAGTGTGCAGGAGGCAGCTGATCGATGTTTCTCTCTCATCGATGTTTCTAACTCTCTATCCCTCTTCCTTCCTCTCTGTAAAAAATCAATAAAAAATATTTTTTAAAAAAGGGAATTAATTAGCAGAGATATTTTAATATTGCTATTTGCCCTTTAAAATAGAAGTGTGAGAGATAAAAGGAAATTAGTAAAATGTATATGAAAATCATATATAAATTTATTAATAAATAAACAGTAACAAAAGGATATAACAACAACAGAGGCATGATATAAAAACAACAGTGATGCAAATAATGACTGATAAAGTGATTAAACTTATTCTAATATCTCCCTGTACACCACATTAAGAGTGAAAACACTTTCAGAGTGCTTAACTAATTTCCCTTGTGTTGAAGTACTTAGAACTTTAAATGTAACATCACATAGTCTTCAAACTCAAGAGAAAGCAACATGTAACTGACCATGTGCAAAAACAGGTTCAGGTAGGAACATACCTACTCTGTCTAGAGTTTGTCCTTGTGATTTATTAATAGTCATCACAAATGCTGGCATCACGGGAAACTGTCGTCGAATCAATTTAAATGGGAGGCCAGTGTCAGATGGGACAAATTAATTCTTGGAATCAGAACAGCCTCTCCCTCTGCAGATCCTGTTAATACTTCAGCTTCGATAATGTTAGGTCATAATCTTTTGATAATAAAATCTGGTACCATTACAAAGAACCCATTTACTATTGAGATTTCTCAATAGCATGATGATTGCACCCACTTTAAATTTTAATTTATGACACAGCATTCCCGAAGGAGTAATACTATTCAGAAATTCCATGGGGAAATTTCCCTTTGTTTCTTTGTTATGGGGTGGGGCCACAACATTAGTAACAAAGAAACAGAATTAAAACTTTATTGTGGGGAGCTGCTACAGTGTTTTGGACAGTTTCAAGCCTTGGACTGATGAGAGGGCACAGTCCTCTCATTGCCACGTGCAAGTTCCAGCTTGGAGGGCAGGACCCTCCCAGCACAATTATAGCCAACAGCTGTAATTGTAAGCTTGAACCTATGGTCCAAACACGTGGCCCCACGTGCCTGAGTGATGTGGGCTTGATAGAGTTCAGGTGCATGTAGTTGAGTAGGATTGAAACCCAGGAGAATGTTTGTAAACATCTTGGTCATGCCCTTACTTTGCTTCGTAGCATCTGCTATAAAATAAAGGCATGGCTGTGGGAGTGGTCGCTGTCTCTCAGAGAAGCAGTGTCCCACCAAGACCTGGCTTTCATTCTCTTGTCTGTCTTTTCTAAGCCTTTCAGCCGCTCCACTCAGGTTCACCCCGTGCTGGTGCGTCACTCTTTAGAAAGATCTGCCTCCACCATCCCAGGGCGCGTTCCTGCCTCAAACTCTGCCCTTAAAGGAAACAGGTCCGGGAAACAGCTTGGGGGAGGGCGCAGCCATTGCCAAGACAACCCCTGTAGGACTGACTTCCTTCCGCTCGGTCGCTGTTCATCTGTATGTGACGAATACCACCCATGGTTTTTATATAAGTAGATTATATTGTGATCTGCAAATATGGGTCTTAGCTAAGTCCATAAATATCCAAAACCATATAATAATCCAGAATTATCTATTTCATGAGGGGTGTCTAGTGTTATTTGAAGAT